TCTCGTACCTTTTATTGTTGCCTATTGTTCTCTGTTGCAGTAATACAACTTCTTCAAGACTTTTCTGTTTTATCAAGACCTGTTGATTTTGTATCTGTTAACTCACAGAGCTACAATATTGGTATTGTATCAGAAATGTAAAAGTTGTATTGGGACACCCCTACAGAAAGCATGGTATCAAGTGTAAATGTTAAACATAAGGAGATTATGGTGTCAGGTGATGTTAGCTGCTGGGCTTTGCTCCTAAGTTCCAGTGGTGGAGAGAGTTTTCCACCATTACCAATCACCCATAAGGGCTGAACTCTGCCGATCACACAGATTGCCTGGTAAGATTTAGATTTGGGTATAAACGCCAGTGTTAATTTCGCCAGCTTTTTAAAATTTAGTCTTAGTCACAATGACTAAGCTTTTTGCTCTTGCCATCAGGTTTGTACGGTGGGGTTGCTATCATGCAGGTTGTTTTGTTGTCCTTCGTGTTTAAACGAAATGGCTCCATACATCCAGGAATTGTTTTTGCCAAGCTCCTCCAACAAACTGTACACCGTTGTCCGAGCTCAGCACCATGACTGCGAAGTTGAGCTAGCCACGGTTAGCTACTACCAGTGACCAGTATAAACCCTCTGCTACTACGGAGTGAGCGGCACGAGGCACTGTGGGACAGGCGCCACGTAGGGAAAAAATAATCTTCTACGAAGTTCAAGAAAAACTTATATTAACAATTACAAATTAATTATGAACAATAAAATTTTTTAATGTCCATTCGTCCATGGCTTGAAGAAAATAATTTTTTATTCTCGTCATATTTTCATTTTCCGGTAACAATTTTTCTGCATCATCATCTCATCATCGTCATAGGAAAAAGGCGGCGTTAACTAAATATTTTCGTCATCGTCCTGGTTGACAAAATTAATACTGATAAACGCTATAACTGACTATGTGATCTGGTAAAATTTAATCATAAAATCACCTAATTTAAACAAAACATAAAAAAGGTTTAATTTAACAGATTCGATTTTTTCAGACAGAGTAAAATAGTAAAAAACATGGAACTAAGCGGGGGAACTTTATTTTATTTAAGATTATGTGCTTCAAGTTGGGACAGCAAACATTTTAATACACATATTAAAACTTTTATTTTCTCCTGCAGCTTTAAGGAGATGTTCGCTGTGAGACGTCCCTGAAATATTTGTGCCCCAGTAGCACAGTCCAACATTTACAGCAGTCGGTGGAACCCAAGTCTTTCACTGCTGTTTCTTTACTAGGGGTGGAACGGTTCACAAAATCCACGGTTCGGTTCAATTCACGGTTTCTGGTCACAGTTTTCGGTTCGGTTCGATACATGTTGATTGTTACACCGAAATCCCATAAAAATGTATGGAATTAATGAAAAAATCCCCCCAAAAATAATGGATTGTAATTATTTTAAAAGATCCGCGGAAACCCTGGATCATTTCCGTATGTTTTGCTGCTTTGAATTGAATCATCTCGCGCATGCTCTCTACCATCTCCAAGGGACTCAGAGGGGAGCGGACGGAGGGAGCCACAGTGGAGGCTGAAGGCTTTGCTTTGAGCAGCCGGTCTGGAGCGCAGCGGGGCGGAGCGGGGGTTGCTGACGAAGTATGAGTAATTTCGTGGGTTAGCATGACATGTTGGTCATGTTGCTGTTAGCGTAAACAAAACATGTTGCACAATGCTTGCACACTGTTGCACTTTTATCCACAACTTTCTTTCCATCGTCATCGTAGGTCACTCTAAATGCAAAGTGGTCCCATACAGCAGACCTCTAAAGTGCTGCTGGCGCGTCTTCCAACTCCTGTTCTTTCCCACTCGCCATTCCGACACAATTCTCCACAACAACTGATTTTTTCCCCTGCTACACCCGGCTACACTGCTTTGCTTCTTCTTCTTCTTGTTTACTACTGGTGGTTGGCTTTGGTCGCAGTACCGCCACCTTCTGCTCTGGAGTGTAAACGCTTCGCCTATGAGAAAAAGGAGCAGCGCATGAACCGAACGAAACACACGCGAACCGAACGGTTCTGACGGTTTTCATAAATCGTCCCATCCCTATTCTTTACACAATTAGTTAAATAATACATTGTGAAATGAGGCAAGAAAACTCTTCTTGAAATTCATACACATTTTGTGATCAAGACAAATGAAACCAATGTTCAGTGGCTTAAAACAAAATCCAGATTCACTTATAGATGCTAGTGGGCAGCTACAAGTGGGGTTGGATAGAAATTATCAAAGAAGTCAGTCTTATTTAATCTTTTTAAGGTGATCTTAAGCCAGTGTTTTCGTTATCTTATGCAAGACAGCTTGTTCACCTAAATTCAGACAATCATATCTCAACGGTCATCTGTCAATCAAATTTTTTCGGGTATAGCATCTTGACTCATAGGTCGCAGATAATATACGCAACGGTTGAAATAAGAATAAATAACTTTACCATTGAGTTACCTCCCAGTGTTCACAGGGATGGACGTCTGTGTCTGCGGCAGGCGTGGAACTAACAACTGGCAGCATTGCGAGGCAAGGGCTCAAACATGTATGGCTTCAGCTTCTGCCGCCCTGGCGTCCTCTTCCACAACATCTTCATCCCGGCATTCCTCCTCTAAATACAAAATGTATGACGGAGGAGACTCATCCATGACCTCCAACACAAAACTATCCTCTTGAATGTTTCCACTGTCCATAGCGTTCCTTGACAGTGTCGTTGCTAAGTGCTACTTAGTCCCAATGTAATTTCCCTTCGGGAAACTACTAGCACTAGGTTGCTAACTGGTTAGCAAGATGCTTCCGACACACCAGCCACAACCAAACTTGCTGGCAAACCTTCCGCCACAACAAACTTGCCCGCTTGATACACGACCAATAACATCCTCTTTATTCACTCGTGTAAAGTCGTGCACCACTCGAGAGAACAGCCATTTCTCTATGACTTTAAATACATTTTTATTCTACTTGTCACAGAACATTTAGAACATCCCTCATGTATTCTGCTCCTCCTTATATATGAAGTTCATTAAAATGTAAAATATTTGCTTTTAGACAGTCTGCTCTGTGAGTTTGACCTGGACCCCTCTCATCACACTGCCTTCCTTTCCTCTACTCCCTCTTTGCCTTCTCCTTTCTGCTTGATTTCTTTTTTTGTTGTTTTTTTGTCACCTCATTCAACTCTGTATCGCAGGAAATTACATGTTTGACAGGAAATAGCCTGGGGCAAATACAGCGCAGCCCATTTTAACCTCACTCTGCTGCCTTTCTAACACCTCACTGACATACTGACATGCCATCATTGGCAGAAACAAAGTTGAGGACCTTTATTCATTTACTCCTTTTTTATCTTAAGCCTTATTCCATCACTTGCCAAAAGGTTTTGATCCTTTAATACAAGTTATTGTCAGACCAGTATAGATGTAAATTGGTGCATCTTCATCTGCTGCAGGCGGGACATATGGGCATTGGGTTTGGTTCACACAAGCTGTTTCTTTTTCCTGCTGGCTCTTAAGTGTACCATGAAAGCCAATCTGCAACACTTACACACACTAGTTTGGGAAGGTTATTTTGGGACAGTTAGATAGATTGAGACCTTTTCCAGGTTACCGAAACTTTAGCAGCTTCCAAAAAAGTAAAAAAAAACAATCCCCTGGACTTTGTTTCCAAGTTTGAAGACGTTTCGCTTCCCATCTAGGAATCTTTTTAAATTCAAAATGTCAAGAATAGCATTAGTTAGTTAGATGCTTTATATGGTGCCAACAAGCCCTTGTTTTTGTTTAGAAATCATACAAATTGAAATGGACGAATGGGTCCACCCCTTGGACTGGGGGTCATTTGAATTCTTTTGTTAGCCTGCAATGCCCATACATGTCTATGTCTCTGAAAGGGGTGCCATTAAAGGGAATTGGTGGCCTGGCTGAATAGGTGAGGTCTTTTTTATCATCTGTACAGGGGTTGGGGTTGCGATGATAGCGGGAAGGGATAAACTCAGTTGCTGCATTGTAGGTTTTTGAAAGCTGAAATCTGAGTCCACCTTTCTTAACATAGATGGCTTCCTTCACGCCCCTCTCAAACCACCTATTTTATTTATCCAAAATGTGAACATTCTGGTCCTCAAAAAAGTATCCTTTCTCCATAATGTGTAGATGTACCGCAGAGTCTTGTCACGAGAAGGTTGCTCTTCTGTGTTGGGCCTTGCGTCTGCCCAGTGGATTGTTTTTTTACTTTTTTGGAATGACTATGACCTGGATGACTGAAAATTCACCAGCATTTAGCAGCTCTAGCTTGATAGGTTTCAGGAATATTTTAGCAGCAAAGATCAGCTGTTTACATCTAAATCTAAGTTTGGCCGCATACATCTTAAAGTGATAACACACTGGACATTGTTTAAATTTGTGGGACGCGGACAGTTAAAAAAAAAAGAAATCTACTCATATCGGGATCTGCTTGCCCTTTGTAGTCGGAGCCTCTCCATAAGCTCTGCAGTCAATGTGATATGAAAAAAAAAATGGAGGTTAAAAAGTCGGACGCAACCAGTTTGACCTGTGCTTCAGACATAAGCAAAGTGTTTTTATCAGCCTGCTAATATTAGATATTGCTGGCCAAAATAATCCATCATTAGTTTTTTTTACCTGATCTCAGACTGGGACATCCTTTGGTGTGTCTCTGGTTGGGTTGAAAGAAACGGTTTATTGTACCTAGTTTGTGATTAGTGAGTCATAACCAAAATGTACTCATAAAAACATTTTATTGAAACAATAAATAGGTGATAATAACTGATCTCATCATGGCTGAGGGGGCTTTGAGTTTCAAAAAGCCAGAATGGTCTGACACCAGGCTGCTGATTGTTTATCAGTTGGCATTCTTTGGATCTACATTCTTTGCAAAGCAATCTTCTTCCTTTTTTAGTCCTTTGATCTAAACGGCGCCCGACGTTTGTAAAGAGGTGTTCTTGAGCCAAGCCACTGACTCTCTCTCCCCTTTGTTTTGTTACCTGACAGGTTTTGATGCACACTGATGGGAATCCAGGAAGCTTCCTGTGCCAACGTCTGCCCGTACTGACCTCCATGACTCAGCTGGACGGTACTGCTACGGCCTACGTATGCCAGGACTTTAGCTGCTCTCTGCCCATCACAGAACCCCAGGAACTACGACGGCTGCTCCTTGACAGGACCGCAGTGCCGGAGGCAGACTAATATCTGACAGACTGCGTTCTGCAGCTTTCTGCTTTTTTTATCCTCAATGAATACCAAAGCTTTAGGTCAATCTGAGCTGCTTTGCTAGGATCTGTTGCTGCTGTGCCTTGCAGAAGTAGCTAAATGTCATTGATAGATTTTCCTTAAGAATTCCCTTGTATTAAGCTTCATTTATCTTCCCATCATCTCTGACGACCTTCCTTACCCCTGGTAAAAGAAAAGCAACCCCACAGCATCATCATTATCACAGAGCTGGACTCTCTAATCTTAGCTCATTGAAATGTAAATTAGTTTTATTCAGTGGCATTAGTGAATGAATAAAAGGCACATCAGACATTTTACACATATTTCCTTATTTGTCAACTATAAATTCCCTCCATTTCACACTTATGTCCTGCTTTGAGTTGGTATATCCAAATAAAATGCAATAAACACTGTGTTTGTATGGAAACATTAAAGGGGTCATAGAATGATTCTATAGGGTATCTGGTGCTGGTCCTTAAGGTCTCTGAATAGGGTGTGTAAATTGGTTGGGCTAAAAATGGCATATTTGCTGTTCTATGCGCCCTAATGCAAGCCTGGTTATAAGCCCTAGAATGAAATGACAGATTTTCTTCCTTTTATGGTATGCTGATGAATATTTATTGAGCTGTGCACTGATTGGTTGGTTTACAACGAGCAAAGCTGCCGAGCAAAGACTCATCATAGCAGCAAGCACTCACTCACTAAAACATTGAAATTGTTCATATGATAAGGTGACCAGACGTCCTCTTTTTCCCGGACATGTCCTACTTTTTATACCGTAAACAATGTCCAGGGAGAATTTCAAAACCGTCCGGGATTTTGGTCGACTACAGTGCAGCAGAACCGACCCGTCAGCTCTGAGGCTGGTCCGGGAACCCCCCTGGCTGATGGAGGGAGGGAGCCAGCGGGGGACGGAGCAACCGAACCCTGCCTGGTGTCTTTGGATACTTGGAAAGACTGTGAAATTTTTCCCCTTTCTCGATGCAGCCTGGAACACTGCATTTCTACCCGTAGTTCTGGCTCATTTTCAGTAGAGAAACTGCCTACTTTGTAATTATTGTAGAAATAAACCCAACTGTAGACTAAACAGCTAAACAGGTGTCTTACATCTACCTCTGTTCATGTTCTTGGGCCGTGAATCAGTGGGCTGGTCTGGATGTCAAATTTGGGGCGTGACAAAAGTTCAGGCCAGAACCAAAAAAAAGGCAACATCCCCTAGTTGACGTCAACTCGGTGCTTCGTTTGAATTTGTCCGTTTTATGGTGGAAGTTTTGAACTGTGAGATTTGCAGAGAAAGGAGGTGTTTTATGCGGTTTGAACCTCTCTGTACGTCCATTTCACCCACTGAACTATTGTTATTCATCTATGACAATGTAAACTCGGTTTTGCATTCTATTACCCCTCTAATGAAACATTTTAATGACTAGTCTGGCAAGGTTCTGTATTGTGCAATGACAGAGATGCATCCCCGATTTATTTCCCATTTTAGTAGTACCTCTGAGCAGCATTTTAATAAAAAAACACACACGACTAAATACTGAGGCTTGATTCTAAGTGGAGAAGTAAATGTTTGACTCCTAGCGGGAACAACCAGACAACCTTGGAACCATTAACATAAGCTGTATGGAAAATATTGACCCATTATCCAAATCTGGAGGTAGAAACCAATCTGTGTTTTTTGTGGAAGCTTGAACATAAAAATTGCTTTATATACCAGTTTCTGTAAATTAATAACACAAAGCAGCTCTTTGCTATCAGCCAGATCATTAATTTAACTATTGTGAATTTTATCCTGAGGCTTTAACATAAAAAAAAAAAAATAGCATGCATATGAATTGTCATCCCCCCCCCCCCCCCCCCTTGTTTATTGAATAAAATTGTTTTCATGTCTGGACTCTAAGGTTTCATTTTTCTCAATCCAACAGTCGACCGGGACTATAAGTGTTGGATGTATAATTATGCATTCATAAAAAAAAGTCTGTATTGAAAAAAATGTAAACGAATTTATTTTTTGTACAATGCTTTTTTCTGAAAAAAATCAGGCTTGTTTTATTGAGCATTTCATGATGGAAAAACAATTCTTTAAACAAATCACTAGAGAGAGATCAAAATGACTTTAATGCTTACAATGTGTTTATGTACACCTGGAACTGAACCGATAGGAGTTTCCATTAGAAGATGAAGTCCTTTAAAAAGCATGAAAATCAAAACCCGGATTGAAAGCTGATGCTGAAGCAAGTTGTCTGCCAGACTCCCCCTGGAGGCCGTGAGAGTGTAGAAGAAGGAAAGGTGTGAGCCTCCACCACCTTTAAGGTGAAAAGAATTGCCCTGTGAGAACAAACGCTATATCTCTACTTGTTTCCTTTGGCTTCTTTTTTTCAGATATGGCTTCATACAGGCCTTGTCGCCTGAAGAAGTAAGGGAATCATTTCAGCAGGAGGGTTGCTTCTGTAAGAACATTAAAGTGCCAAGGAAAAAGAGAAACAAGAGGAGGAATATTAGATATAGAGACAGACATCTAAAAGAATAAAGAAAGGGAGAGTGCAATAATTTCTGTTCTGCTATAGAGCTGCTGTGTCCAAGTCTCACTTTCCAGAATGTGCCAGAACGGGAGCAGCGGGCTTTTTGTCACTTTGTGGTTCCCTGCTCCTGTTCCTCCATCTCTCCCTCCCTCTGTGTCTAAGCCGATCATCTTCTACCAGGTTAGGACCTCGCTCTGTTCTCTCCCTCCAGCACGTTTGAAGCTCTCCCATTTCTTCATTCCTTTCTTCTCTCCCTCACTCACACATATATTAATCACCCCCCCTTCCTGACTTTCATCCGTCCCCTCGTTATTGTTCTCCACTAATTGTTTTGATGAGCTGCACAAGCTAGATTTTAATTAGCACAAAGATTAGTGGTTGGCCCCAACAAAGCCTTTCTCCCTGCTGATAATGAAGGCATAACCTAAATCCTGAGATATACAGTCCAAGAATAATAGAGCTTGCATTTATCATTCTCTGTACTTAATATACTTCTGAGGCACTCAACATGAGATGGTGATAACATTTAACAGTCGCAGTAAAGGTAATATCCTGGAGTTGTCTGAGAGGGCTGAATCAGCTAGTTTTAATGGTGTCTTCAAACCTACTGAGCGAGCAGTATTTTTTCTTTCATAACATCTTTAAGTGCTGAATATTCCTATTAGAAAACAAACTATTCCAAACTTACATTTTATGCTGATTTAGTCTGTATCTACTTGTTACAACAGTGTGAAAAAATATTTTTTTAACCTTTAAAAATCATTTAAAAATGGTATTAAACTAATTTGATATGAGACAGAGATATCCAATGGAAAAACTAAATTTCAGCTAACAAAAAAAAAATCACCTAAATCTTGTCTGACTGCATGAATAAAGTTTGTTTGTTATATTGGTGATTTTTTTTTTCTTTTCCTATTAAAAGCATAGGTGTGTAGAGAAAAACAACTTAAGTAAGAGTAGCACTACTTCATCATATCTTTATTTATGTAAAAGTAAAAAGTTGCCTTTAAAGAAATGACTGAATTAAAAACAAAAATGTTTTTGATAAAAAGGCTACTTCAGTACTTTATAACTAATTCAATTCAATTTAGTTAATTTCTATAGCGCCAAATTCACAACACGTCATCTCAAGGCACTTTACAGTTCAAACAGTCAAACTGATTCAAAGTTGTCTATCTAAGGAAAACCAGTTGATTGCATTGACTTAAATGCAATCCCTCACACTAAGCATGCTTGTAGCGACAGTGGAGAAGAAAAACTCAATTTGAACAGGAAGAAACCTCCAGCACAACCAGGCTCAGTGTGAGCGGCCATCTGCCGAGGCCACTAGGGTTCAGGGAGACAGAAGCAGAGATACAAAAAGCAGCTGTAAAAGGAAACAGGAAACACGCAGCCAGGCAGACGAGCTCCGAGCCAGCTCCCATGTCAGAGGACAAAGAGAGCACATCCAGCCAGTTACAGTCAGAGAAACAGGACCACACTGGAAAACAGGCCGATCTCCAGCATCTATAAACAAAGGTGTTTATGGAAGCAGCACAGCTGATGTTTCTCTCCAGGATGGTGTCACAGCCAAACAGGAACAGACGAGGCAAAGCTATTATGAGGAAAAAGCAGAGAGAGCAGAACGTTAGAGATTGAACTAATAGATTCTGCAGAGTGAGAGAAAAACTAATTTACTCACTACCCATGTACAAACCAACTGATTTAATACTCATTTTTAAATGGTGTAAAATTATACAAAATATTAAGCGATGTGCACATTTGGATGTTTCAAACAATAAGATAATAATAAACATATAGAATACAGTAATTATACAATAAGAAAATAGATTATTTTAAGTACAAATCCTGCAAAATTGATAGTTATGGTGTGTTGATTTTTATTCGGATTACAGTATGCAGTTTACTATATTTTCACTCAACCTTAAAATGACACAGCAGACTCAGCAGATGGTAAATAAGATGATAAGATGAGCTTTTTTTCATTAGGAAAAGTGACAACAAATGGAGTAGCCAGAAAAGAATGGTAAGAGTAGTGATATTTTATCATATTTTAATGAAGTAAAGATGAAAAGCACAATGCTGTAAAACTGCTCCAAAAGGTATTTAAGAAAAAAAAAAATTAACTAAATGTAAGTGGTTTCTACTAGTGTTGCACTGATACCAGTATCCGGCGGGGCCCCGATCCAGCACTACAATGGTGGTATTGGTATCGGTGAGTACCAACAAATAGGGCACCAATACCATTTTGAGAGCCAAAAATGTATTATTGTCAACCATTCCAGGTAGGCAATAAAAAGTTCTACACAAAGGTAGGCTGCAGCTTGACAAAGCCATGATGGCAATTATTTTACATCCAAGTAGTATGCAGTTCTTCATATATATATATACACACACACATCAATTTTAAACAGATGGTATTGGTATCTTCCAATACTGCACAGCCAGGTATCAGGGCCAAAAAATGGCATTGGCACAACACTAGTTTCTACCCCCCTCTGATAAGAACAAACATGTTTAGAAGTAACTTTGTCCCCACAGCAAGTCCCCTTATAAAAGCTAGAAAAAAGGAGGTATAGCATGAGCTTTTTGGTATTGGTGAAGGCAGGGGGAACTCCACTTTGGCTTTGTGGTGACATCATCCATCTTCTATGGCATGTTAGAGCAACAGCATATCTGCTAGATGAGGTTGTTAGATAAGCTCATTAGCAGGGCTGGCTCTATCCTAGGATACCCCCTGGACACACTGCAGGTGGTGGGAGACAAATAACGTCACTGTTGGACAATGTCTCCGATCACATGCATTAAACTGAGTTGGACAGCACATTTAGTGAAAGGCTTTTAAAGCGTAGATGCACAAACAATCACCTTTGGAAGCCAGACCTCTGGAACGCTGGAGGAGTTTATATACT